TCCCTTCTCCTTCTCCCGTTACCTAAACCGGGAGACGGGTCTTCTTGCCGCAGCCCGTTTTCTGCAATATCTGTCGTTACTGGGTAACTCGTTGTTTCCGCATCAGAAGCTTGGCTTGGAAATAATTCACCTTCCTTTTTTTTTTTTTTACCTACACACTCGGCCATACTGTTATCGCCACTGCATTTCCGTAGTGACGTTTATTTTTTATTTTTTTTTGCTTTCGGAAGACGATCAGATAAAACAACGCGACCTTTTATAGCGAAGTTGTTGCTGTGGTAAGGCGAGAGCCGGTAGCAGCCGTCAGGTATTTCATCTGCTGCATTCTTAACCCTCCTGGCAGCTCTGTCGTTAGCTTCCAGGATAAGACTGAATGCTAAAGAAAACTGTTGATTAATCCAAAATGTAGAGCTCTTCTCCTGTGGCTCTTCATTATTTCACATCTTCAACATTATTTAAATATTTTAATAATTAGCGAAGGTTTTAAATGCAGCTGTAAGCGTGAGTACTCGGATTCATCCAAGATACTCAAATGAATCGTGAGAAATAAGCTGATGTTTAATGTGCTGGGTTGTTTCTATCATGGGAATATGTTTAGTATTCCTTTGATAACGAATCTGAAGAAATTACCATTAAGGTAAACTTGCCCAAGTAAACATAGCATCATCAGCAGTTTCATGGATGGAAGTCAATAACTAAATGGGCTAAAAATGGATATTTACCCAGTGATGTTTCAAGGTAACCTAAACGCTTTGATTCTGTCTTTTAATGGATTGAATTTGTTGAGTGACCAGTGTTGACGCTTAGCAGCATATTAATTTCACTTTCTGTGAGCTATTCCACAGCAAATTATGTCTTTTGAATATGTTACCTTCAGGCCCTTGCTCATGCATGTAGAATCTCAGACATATACTTCTTGGGTGTCTTCTGAGTACTTTTTGCCCTGCAGTGCAAGTCATTCATTGGGAATTTTTAGTATAGTAAGCTGGTGTGTGTTTGTCTTGCACAAGCAAAATCGATTTTTGGCAGTATAATCAGCCGTGTTCTTTTTATGATTCTCTACGAAGTAGAGAAAATCCTGTGTTACATAAGATTTTTGCAGAAGCACTGGAAATTCTTTTTGCATCCCATTGTTTTCATTATCTGAGCTTCTATCCGGTAATATTCTGAACAAACTTCAGACTTGCTCTGATTAAGAATTAACATTTTCTCGGAAAAAATCTATAGTGGTTTGATAGGGGATGGCTGCTGTCATTTGGAGGACATTATGATCCTTGGACATGATACACTGGGCTGCTTTTGGTTGTAAGGCCATAATATTATAATATAAGGCTAATATTAAGGAATTTGGTTTTGTTTTTAGTACTGTAACTGATTCTTTAGTATGGATGCTTCTGTAGTGGTGCCAGTGATCTGATCATTACAGCATTTTTACTGTTGGATAGTAAGACTTGGGCTATAAAATACTTGACCAAAAAACGTCCACTGCAGCAGCCAGTTGCAGTTCTTTAGATTAAGATACACCATTTCTCAGGCAATAGTAGGGGCATTTGATGAAAAACTTGTAGAAACCACCTTTGCAGCAGACCTTTTCCACTAACATTCTTAGGATAAGATTGGTTTTCAGCCATTGTGATGCAACGTCACCAAAATTTGGGAAGGACGGGAGATCTGACATGTCAGTGGATAGATTGCCTGTCATATTTGATCAAGCACATGCTAAAAAGTGAAGAACCAATTTTTTTTTTTCTTCTATCCCAATTACATTATACATCTCTTTGGGCTGTGTTAGCACCAAAGTTTACATTGCAAAGGCCCATCATAAAAATGAAGTGGCCAGAATCACGTTTCAGGAAGAACATTTTTTATTTCCTGGGAGGCTTGAAGAACTGCTGGACTTTGGTTTTCCAGATGTCTTAATCTTATTTATTTAGCAGGGTTTGTGGGTTTTTTAGGTTTTGGTGTTGCTAGTTCAGGGGCATGTCCATATTTAATCTTGGGACCAAAAGCCAGCAAAACTGTGTGGAGCTGCTTAGCTTCCACAGCTATATTTTGAGATTATAAGATTTTAGATGTGTTTACTGTTGGTGTTCTTGAATGTATAAACCAGAGCTGTTCTGCATGCAGGTATAGACACTGATCTGTTCATTCAGAAATGGCCAGAATTTCTGAATGTGCTGAGCTTTGCCTCACAGCACCTTCTGCCTGGACAGCTGAGTGAGAGGAGAGCAGTAGGCAGACTTCACAGATGGGAGCTGAAGACGCAAATGGCTTTTTGGTTGTTCTGCTCCTTTGTGGGGCTGGTTGTGAACCTGCTGGGGCAACTCAGGGATTTTTGCAGCCCATGCCAGTGCATGAGGTTATCCATTGGTTCACCGTTGAAACTTACTCCCCGTGTACAAGAGCTATGCCTGAAGGACCTGCAAGTCGCGTGCAGTCTGAGTGCTGCAATTCAGCTTTCTGTTTTGTATGGATGCACGTGCATTTCTGTGCTAAGATTCCTTTTATGAAAGATTGCCTTCCCCCTTTTCTAAATGTGATAATGTCTTTAGAAAAGAGGGAAATTTTTCATTTTCTTGGAGGTCCCTGAGGGAAAACAAAAATATTTTGGGGGGGGGTTAGTGTTTTTTTTTTCTTTTTTCCCCCCAAACCATTGATTTTTGCTTGTTGTATTACAAATGTAGCTTTTGGCTGTTGTTGCAAAGATATTTTAAAACTAGTGTTGCTAATCAATATGGGAAGAATTCCGAAGTATCCTTTGGAGCTATTTGGTTTCTGTAATTATTTTAGCTAGTGGACTTCTAAAAAGAGGTGTAAAAACGTATTAAGAGGAAGAAAAATTGCAGAGTATTTAGACTTGGAACGATTCTGTAGATCAATGTTCAGTTTTAAAATCTTGGTGATTCTTCACATTCCTTTACTATTTTCAGGTTAAGGTGTATGATTTCATTTGAGTGTGATCAGTGCTCAAAAGCTTTTAGTAAAGAGTTACAGTTACCAGTATGCCTTTTTTTCCTTTATCTCTGAATGCTTAACCTGATAAGTGATCCCTGGTGTAATGTTTTAGGTGAAGTCATAGTTACACCAAGAAAACACAATTTTCTGCTGAAAATGCTGTACAAACGTTAAGCTGTTACTCTTTGTACTTTTCATTGAAGTTTTCACTGAATACACTACAGTTGCAACGTGGCTTGTTTAGATAATGAAACATTTCAGATATTACTTTTTAAAATTATTTTTATTTCATCTTCAAGATTTTATGTATTAGCAAAACTGGTTTGCATAGTAGTGCAGTTTAAAGTTTTGTGCAAATTAATGCTCAGAAAACTTGGAGTGAGCTAATTGAAAGCACCAATTTTCAAGAGAGAAATTCGTCTTTAATATTGGAAACAACCATAATGATAAAATTACAGTATCCTACAGTTCTGTATGACATATTTTTATGTATATGATGTTGTAAAAGAACGTACACAGGTCAATAAGTTGTAGAAATTCAGGTGCTAAGGGATAGTAAGGTGTTGTAGAAGATAGAAAGGTGATCTGTGTAGTTAGAATGTGAACTCCCTTTATGTAAAGAACACTTGATCTTGTCCATAAACTTCACGTTACATTATCACTACTAGGAAATAGTATTCCTGAATGCCTTCACCATGTGGACAATTGCAAAATTTTAACTCATTGCCATTAACACTGCTAGTCATATTTGGAAGTATTTCCAGCTTGTAAAATTGTCTCAAAAGAAAAATCAGGGCTGTGTGACAGCTGTTCTTTGTCAATGTAGATGTTCACCAAGCAGACACTAAGGACAAATGGTAAGAGTACAGTTGTTTAATAGTAGGCTGTATTTAAAAGTTATCTTGGTGTAACTATTTCAGTTGATGAACTGGCGACTTACAAAAATGATTATTCTAAGGAAATCGCCAGTACTGTAATTATTCTTTTGTGTATGAATAGCTGTAAATGTTTGCTTTCCTCAGATTTCAGAAATGTATGCTTTAGTATTGCTCTGGCTGTGGAATGATGACATACTGCCACCTGTTTAACTACTTTCTCAGCTGCTTTGTAGCAAAGACTTGGGAACTACGCTTCAAAGTTCCTGTTGGTTGTGTACCATATAGTTCAAAATTAGATAGCCTTAACCTGTAGGCAGTTCTTCCATGTCTTATCATTGTTAGAAATCATCCTGTGTTACTCTCATTCTCTTCCCTTCTTCATGCCTCTAGTGCATGAGGTATGCTGTGCTGCAGGCCCTGCACAGTTGCTGTTTACCGTAGCCAGCAGGAGAAGAATTGCCATTTCGAGTTGATATGCTACTGCCAGCCCTCATCAGACCTCTAAATGATTTCTGTTGCACAAAGTGGGTTGCAGTCTTGTGTTTAGTCTTCAATATTTGGAATATTTAATTTCTTATTCTGAAAATAACTTTGATTTATTCACGGTTTTGAACTATAATAAGACTTTTAAAATCATAAATTAAAAATGTAAGATATTTTTATTCTAACAGGAAGGAAGAAACAGAAGCTTGCCAAAGAGAGAGCAGGGCTTTCAAAGGTAATACTGTGTTCAGTAATGCAATGCTATTTTGAAAGATGTTTCATTTGTATTATTTGCAAGATTTGTTTAAAAATCTGTTTTGATTCCAGTGTTACAAACATGTTTGCAAATGTGCAGTCTTTAGGTTTTTCAATGCTCACAAATAACCTATGAAAGGGTTGTTCCTTTTTTGTGTCAGATAGAGGCCTTGTACTAGAAAGTACAACATTTACTGTGTGAATTGATGGTGTCTTCCTCTTTGTAGTATGTGCAAGGACTTTTCAGACTTAAATCATTGATGGGATACACCTATAACTGAAATGGATAGTTTTTTGCTATTAGTATTTGATTTCTCTTTCCTTATCACCAATGAGTCCTGGAAGAAAAAATATTTTTATTTTAACCAACTGTAAGAAATACAGTTTATGATAAACATAACACACCTTAGAATTTATATTTGCTGCAAAATTGTGTGCTTAACAAACTGAGTAGAGGTATTTCAGGCTCTGTTTCTCTACAGATTTGTGATGCAATGATATGAGACCTGAGTCTGATTTTTCAAAAATGTTTTGTGTACATTTAACTTAGTGGTGACACTTGTAATTTCTTTTGCCAGTTTCAGTGTAACAGTATGGTTGTGTGTGTGATTTCAGTTGAGAATGTTTTCTTCTGACTTGTTTATTAACTGATGTTTAAGGGTCAACTTCAGTTTTATTGTGTGTGTTACAGTTGCCTGATCTGAAAGATGCTGAAGCAGTTCAGAAGTTTTTCCTTGAGGAGATTCAGCTTGGCGAGGAACTACTAGCTCAAGGTAATAGCATATGTTTTTTGAAGGGTAGGTTGTAAAATAATTTTTCTTTACCTTTGCTAGAAGATTATTTTTATATACTAAGATCTTTTGGGGATCAAATTCACCTAGGAAAATCTGTTTACGTAGTAGTTTCTAAGCTGCTGTGTTCAGAAGATCCAGAAAGGGGGGAGGAAGGAAAAGTGTGGATTGATTCTCAGTAATTTAATCCACTGTTGATAGATTTTTAATGTAAGTACTTTACGTAAAGTAGGTGGAAGAAGGTTGATTTCAAAACATGATTTGTCATACAGGTGAATATGAGAAAGGTGTTGATCATTTGACCAATGCCATTGCTGTGTGTGGACAGCCACAGCAGCTACTACAAGTTCTACAGCAGACTCTTCCACCACCAGTGTTTCAAATGCTTCTAACTAAGCTCCCTACAATAAGCCAGGTATGTAAAACGTTCCTTGTTGTTTTGGTTTGAAAAGAATTGAACTCCTTCTCTTACCCACTACGTCAGTCTTGAGTATTGGTTTTTGTAATACGTTTTTTGTGTATGTTCAGTTAGATTAAAAGAAGGGTTTTTTTCCACCTGAAACATTAAGGCGTTTCATTAAAAAGTGAAACACCTTAATGTTGCAAACATTAGTGTATAGCTCTGTGTATAAAATGCCCTCCCTTTTTAGCCTGAGTACTGTGCAGGTAACATTGGTAATGTGCTAGCAGGTGAGTTTATTGTAGAATAAATAACATGTTTTACGTTCTTGGAAATGCAAGGATACTCCGTGATGGTGTTACCTCACATGAAGCCGAGACTCAGTGCTCTGCATCAGTTAGCTCTTTTTACAGCTGAGGCCTGCTTACGTTCCAGTTTAAGGGCCATATAGTTAGTCAAAACTCTGAAAAGTGTCAGGGACACAAGATGTAAAGGTCTGGGGAAACAATGCAGCAAAAATGTTTCCTTAGAGAACAGTGCCAATAACCACACAAAGGTCATCACTTGAGGCTGATAGTATATTATCTATCTGACTTTGGCTTTGTTAGGCATTGCACAGTACGTAATTTCTGCAGAACTGACTTCAAAAACTTACGTCAAATGGATTACCATTTTTAACATTAATCAGTTTGCTCAATAATTACACTGCTTAGTGTTCAGTGTAAAATTACATTGCTTGATAATCAGTTGCCTACTGTCCATTTTATGTAATTGTGAATGAGTTTTTCTCCTTCTTACAGAGAATTGTAAGTGCACAGTGCTTGGCTGAAGATGATGTTGAATGAGGTCACACCACAACAGGGGGAAAAAATGTTTTCTTACCCCAGAAGATGAGCATCAGTAGGGGGATAAAGGGGCAAACATAGTAGTTAATGGACTGTGTACCACATCGGGTTCTACCAGAGTTAAAATTAACTTTGTGTAGGTGGGTTTCGCAGGATTTTATTTATTATCCCAGTGAAAAGTGTATTTTGATAAGAATTCATTTTATAAATACACTGTGTTGAGTTATCAAAGTATCACTAACTTCATTATTATTAAAATATGCAGTTGTAATGTTGTACATATAAAGACATAAAACTACGACCTATTAAAAACCCAATGCTCATTTTTGAAAAAAAACAAAGTTATGGCAATAAAGATTTATCTGCACTTGTGTGTCCCTATAGTACTACTTTAAATTTCAGAACATTTGGGTGTCAGAGCAAATGATTGAAAAATGACTTAACATTAAAATTTATTTTTAATGTTATGGCTGGTCTTCCAGTGCTTTTAATTAAGTTTAAAACGTGTCATTTCCTGAGAAAAAAAACATGTGATCATTTAAACTGTAACCGATCACCTTAGCAAGAAATGCAAATCTGAATGGTAATAGATGACTGGCTGCCGAAAGAATGACAAATCCATTTCTGTCAGGAATAATAACATCTAGAGTGATGCAAGTCAAAACTGTATCTGGCAAACACGAAAGCTCTGTTAATGCAGGTGTCTGAAATAAAGCTGTTTGGAATAGAACCTGGGGCAGATTCTAAGAGCACAAAGGTTGTTTTTTTTGAAAGCTTGAAACCTTTTTGCAAGATAGGCAGTTAACATTTCAGTCTCTAGTCTTCAAGACCATAGAAAATGGTTAACAGTCTTTAGCATTTGCCTTAAAAAAAATTGCACTGATGAGGTAAGACAATGATATCCCCAAGCCAAACTAGCTAAAGCTAATGGGATTGGAAAGGTGGTGTAAAATTTTGGTATGGTGTGATACTGTAAACTTGAATTTAGGTAAGTTTTCCTTTGCCGGTGAAAAGGAGGTAAATTATATATAGACTCTAGTGAGTAGCAGAAGCATACTTTTGAAAGCAAGTTTTCCATGGATAGATGTTCTAAATGCTCTAAATGTCAAAACAGATTGGCTTCTACTGTTCTCTGGTTTTGTGCTATCACCACTCAGATGGCCAAAACAGTTACAAATGTAACTTTATATTTTTGGCATGGTGACTTTTTTAACTTAAGGAGGAGAAAGAAAGAGAATGCTTCAATGTGTCTGGCTTTCACACCAGCTGATAATTTGTGCTAATGATGCCAGTGCATTAATAGTAAGGTACTAGGTGGCATAGTCCAAGTAGAAGTGAGATACTCTGAGAGCACCTTAGCCAACATTCACATCTGTCTCCTTTCAGCCTGGTGTAAGTTTCTGTTAAAGGCAGATTCTTCCAAACCACAGGTCTCAATGTTTCAGAAACTGCCTGATGGAGAAGTTTTGAGACATTAAATGGATAGGTCATGGCCACCTAGCAGTCAACTACCTGAGTTTGGGAGTAGAAGTGGCTCTTGCTGAGTCAGTCTGCTTGGACAATTTGCCACAGAAGAGGTATTTCTCTGTTAACCCCTTGAAAACACAATTTCCCAAGATTTAGGGTGCTGTTGAATCTCTCTAGAATGCGATAAATACTGAAGTTAATGACTGGTATGAGCAAAACGTTTTTGAACAGCTGGCTGTAGTTTAGTGTTGTGCTTGAGTTGTTCAGGTAGCATAAGGTAAAAGTAAAACTTAGGAGCTATAATCTTCAGGTGACAATGGCTGGTTTGCTCTTTTAATTTATTTTAGAGGGGCAAAGATATTCTGCACCTAGAATACTTAATAAAAATACTGTGAAATGTCAGAAGGTTCTATTTTTAATGAGTGCAGTGAGGCTTTTTTACCCTTAAAAGTAAAAAGAATTCATAGGTTATACTGACAGAACTGTTAGCGTGTTTACCTGCTGTCCTTGCTGGTGGTGAGCGCTTCAGTGTAATGTCTTTTTGGTTCAGCTTTTAATGTTGTCTTTAGGTAAATCAAACTCTTCTACCCTGCTTTGAAAAACGAATCTGAACAGCATAAGACAAAAGTGGCACCTTCCTTCAAACTTGAACAATTTTCTACACTCTTTGGTATAATGATGACAATTTGAATTCACAATTTAGCTTACTGCAAAGCACTCCTGAACTAAGTATGTTTTAGCAAACCTGGATTTCAATTCTGATGTTGATGGAAGACTAGGTGATAGTTTGATTATGGCTACAAATGGTCATTGCTTTAGTAAACATCGGAGGCACACATATTACTCTAACCCTTTTTAGTTTTCTTGATCCTGCAAAGTTAGATGCACACAAAAGTTTAGATAGCTTAGGTTTAAATGAAGCCTTAAGTACAAATTTGTTCTCATACTTGGTAACGCAGAAGTACCTGGTTAATATGCTACAGCAAGCTCTGATACCTGTTTTGAGTGCCTTGGCTATTAGGGTGGGAATGATGAATCCTTTTAACAAGGCTTATTTTTTTTTTAGTCCCCCCCCCCCCGCCCCCAATCTCCTGATGAAGGTAATACCTTACAAATTGTGAAGACTTGGAGATCTTGTCTAGAATGGGAATTTGTGGTTGCTCCAGCAATGGCAGGCTGGCACTGGCGTAGCTAGCATGCACAGCCCACAGATGTGGGAGGCTGTAATTTAGAACTGGTTTCAGACATAAGCAAAGTGCAGGTCATAGGAAGTTCAGGGGTAGTGATGGGTGTTACTGCATCAGTAGTAGTAATGCCATCGCATTACCTGTGCATAGTACCATACAACCTTTTCACCTGTGCAAATTAAAAAAAGGTGGAAGTGAGCTATTCCAGTTGTGGATTTGGTGCTGCTGAGCTCACAGCTGCTGGTGAGTAAGATCTGTAATCTTACTTTAGGTAAAACTATGAACCTTTCTCCCAGAAAGGGCCATCTTCCTTTCTGTGGTGCTCCAAGAACAAGGCACTTGGTTTCAGCACTAAGAGGATTTCTCACAAAGGAAGTCGGAGGTCTGTTAGTTTTTTATGTTGAGAAGTCTCCTATCATCGGTCATGAGCTTCTCAGGCAGCTTTTATAGGCAAAAAACCCAGCTAGTTTCATGATCATGCAGGACTACCTTTGATGTCTCACCATTAAGTTTTCTAGATAATGGAAATGAATCCAAAACCAGAGTGATCAGGCACACACTGAATCATCTGGCACTAATTTCCTTCCCCTGGGGGATGACAGAGTATTATTGTTGCCCTTAACTTGAAACATGGAGAAGTCCCAGCCCTGCTGTGTAGGAGGCCAGCCAGCCATCATCAAAGTAAAGTTTCAGCTATTTATGCACCCAGAAGAATCTTTTATAAAGTTTCATTTGTACATCTGTTGATGGTGTGTTTAAAGTCCCTTAGGCTGAACAGTGGCCCTACATGACCGTTGTGTTAAAATTAACATGACTTAAACTTCAAGGGAATCTTTGAAGTGGTCACTAAGTGCTTTTAGTGAGTGTTTCAAAGGCATGTTGTACTGTACACCCATGCTTCCGCGTTTTTAAACATACGGATATGGAAAGGGCTGATGTGGGGGAAAAAGAAAAAAAATTTCTTCAAGGCTTCTGTTGTACCCAAGTCTTGGTTTGGTTTTTAATTTTTGTGTTTACACTGACAAGTAGAGCTTATGGTCTCCTTTAAGCAGCGACCAAAAAAAGCTTGTTGGCACAGCAGTCAAATCTGACCAAAATCCTGTTGCAAAGAGCTGAAACTTGTGCTTAATTCACGACGACTGGGCTAACTTTCGTCAGAGGCACTCCAGAAACAGCTTCTGGTGTGGGTAACAGTACTTGTTTTCTGCATTTGTACCAAAGCGGAGCTTCCCAAAGAAGAAGATGTGGACATCTGATACTGTTCTTGGAGGGCAGGATTTGCCACGTCCCGTGTATGAATGTGTGTGAAGACATAGAAAACAGCTGGCCCCTCTGAGATGTTTCTGTATCAAACTGTCCAGCATACTGGCACTAGATAACAGGCAGCTTTTTCAAAGTACCGTGGTTTTCCTATGTTCTTGAAAAGAAATTCCAGGTTCTCACTTCTTTCCCTGTGGTAGGGACTTAGAGGTACTAGTTTTACAGAATATTTGACATCTTTTGATAGGTCGGTACCCTGTTTTCCGATCACTGTGGTAACCTAATAATCATGAACTCTTACAGGCCTTTGCATTATAAGCCTTTGACTCCAGACATAGAGTTTCCATTCCTGCTTTGTGAAGATCAGGCCTTGATTTAATGGGTTGACAGATGCATGTCCTCCTGCAGCGCTCGCTCACAATTGCCATCATTTCCCTTACACCCTGAGGATGTTCTTGACTCATCTTTGGGGTGAGAGGATGTCACTTGGTGCTCACCCACTGTGTGATAGCTGCTGGAGTGTTGTTGCAGGTAGCACAATGTTGCTACAGCCTGCAAATCTGTCCAGATGGTGCCTGCTGCACGACAGTTATGAGTGGCTTTCGTGTATGAGATCTCTACCGTGCGTGGAGGCTGGAAACAGCTGAAGTCAGATAGTTCTGCCTCTTCATGACTTGGACCCTTGCAACTGAAAACTGATTTGGTCACGCTATCATTTATTTGAGCAGGTCTTGATCTAAACAGCAGAGGGCAGTTTTGCACACACGTTCTCTGCAAACTCATCCTGCAAAATCCTAATTTTTAGAATCTTCCTGTCTGGTGAGGTGATGCAATGCAGCATTTTGTTCAGACAAATTTGGTACAGTGTATAAGGTAGGATCAGTGGAGCAGCAGTGACGTGTTTCTACTGAGAGCTGATTTTGACTTTTTTAATCCTGTGTGTTTGGTTTGTTGTGATGACATGGTCAGAAGGGTTTCCCTTTTCTTTCTCTCCATCCCTCAACACAAACCAGGTATATAGATAAGCCAGCTGCATTGTACAACTTAAACCCTGCAACAAAATGCACCTGCATCACATTCTCAGGCATGCAAGAGAAGAGTTTGCCCCTGACCAGCTGTGATTTTTCTGTCTGAGCTTTGCTAGCTGGAGTGAAAGGAGAGCACCTGTTAACTGCAGTAGGGGTGGAAGAGAAATCTGCATCTTGAGACTCTGCCTGGAGTTAGACTCTGGCTGTGATGTCCCATGTGAGGAGGGCCAACCAAAAAAAAAAAAAAAAGGTGTGGGGAGGAGCAAGATGTTATGGGTTGATGATGGGATGAGTTTCGTTGCTGGTTGAATTTCAGCTTCAGGTGGCAAAGTCTACTCACCCTGTTGCAATCCTGTAGTTGATGCGAAGTGAGCTTGGAGGCAGCTATTTGTATTGTAGCAGCACCCTGCTTTGAGCCCAAATCGTTACTCCTGCACCTCAGAAGTGGTTTTTCTCTGCTTCCCAGGATGTGTTTGTAGGGGGAAGGTGTATGTTTATGCCATGCAAGTAAATGGAAGTTTTCAG